TCTTACAGCACTAAACTATGTTTTCTACCTTTATCTTGCATCTACCTACCACTTCAGCATTTTATTAAAAATAATAATTATAATAATAATAATGGGGGATAAATGTGGGATTCACATATAAATCAAGTATAAAAATCAAACAAATATTCATATTTGACCTGATTGTTTATAGTTCATGATGCGTGATCAAAGCCAAAAGTTTCTGTGATGACTGCCCTTGTACTGTTCACCATGTAAGAACTTATTCACTATGTAAGAACTTGTTCACCACGTAAGAACTTGTTTGTTGTGCTTCAGAAGATTGGAGACTGACGAGAATTAGGCTTGGGGTGGATTAATGATTGTGCATTGAGCATTGAGTCCCCTATACAGAGTTTTATTGTTGTTAACAGCCATTTGATCAATAAATATGAGAGATGCCCTCTCAAAAAAAAATATTAGCAAACTGAATTAAAAAATACATCAAAAAGATCATCCATCATGATCAAGTGGGATTCATTCCAGGGGTATAAGGATGGTACAATATTAAAAAGTCCAGCATCATCCACCATATCAACACAAAGGACAAAAATCACATGATCATCTCCATAGATGCTGGAAAAGTATTTGACAAAATTCAACATCCATTCATGATAAAAGCCCTCAACAAAATGGGTATAAGGGGCAAGTACCTCAACATAATAAAGGCCATATATGACAAACCCACAGCCAACATTATATTTAACAGTGAAAAGCTGACAGCTTTTCCTTTAAGATCGGGAACAAGACAAGAATGCCCACTCTCCCTACTTTTATTCAACATAGTACCTAGCCACAGCAATCAGACAACACAAAGAAATAAGATATATCCAGACTGGTAAGGAAGAAGTTAAATTGTCACTGTTTGCAGATGACATGATATTGTACATAAAAAACCCTAAAGAATCCACCCCAAAATAGAACTAATAACTGAATTCAGTAAAGTTGCAAGATACAAAATTAAGACACAGACATCTGTTGTATTCCTATATACCAAAGATGAACTTGCAGAAAGAAAAATCAGGAAAACAACTCCATTTACAATTGCATCAAAAAGAATAAAATACCTAGGAATAAACCTAACCAAGCAGGTGAAATATCTATACCCTGAAAACTGCATGACACTCATGAGAGAAATTACAGAAGACACCAATAAATAGAAATACATCCCATGCTAATGGATAGGGAGAATTAATATTGTCAAAATGGCCATCTTGTCTAAATCAAACTACAGATTCAATGCAATCCCTATCAAAATACCAAGGACATTCTTCAACGGGCTAGAACAAATAGTTCTAAAATTCATATGGAACCACAAAAGACCCTGAATAGCCACAGAAATTCTGAGAAGGAAGAATAAAGCTGGGGGCATTATGCTCCCTGACTTCAAGCTTGACTACAAAGCCACAGTAATCAAGACAATTTGGTACTGGCACAAGAACAGACCCATAGATCATTGGAACAGAATAGAGAGCCCAGATATAAACTGAAGTGCATATGGTCAATTAATATATGATAAAGGAGCCATGTATATACAAGGGGGAAATGACAGCCTTTTGAACAACTGGTGCTGGCAAAACTGGACAGCTACATGTAGAGAATGAAACTGGATTATTGTCTATTACAGTGGGAAGGAAAAGATCTCATTCACCCATACAACACCAACACAAGAAAAACATTTTTTTTAGATTAAGGTATCATTGATATATAATCTTATGATGGTTGCACATGAGCAACATTGTGGTTTCAACATTCACCCATATTATCAAGTTCCCCTGGTCCCACTGCAATCACTGTCCATCAGTGTAGTAAGATGCTATAGAGTCACCACTACTTGTCTTCTCTGTGTTATACTCCCTTTTGGTTTGACTGGTTTGCTGTCCTGTTCAGTGAGTCACATACGCTGGATAACTAGCCATTCCCTGGTATGCTATCCTCAGGCTTAGTCCTGACATCCTCCACCCTCTGTACACTGCTGTTCTCAAGAGATGGGCAGCCACAGGGGCCCTAAGAGCACATCGTGCCCATTTCATATCTCAGGCTGAGCAAACAGGCAACTCAACTATTGGCAAAGAACAGAGGGCTCTGAAGAAGGAATGCTAATATGATGCCTTGGATTTAAAAAATTCTTTCCCCTCCTTTTCTATGTTTACAGGGCAGAAATAACAACACATAGGACAAATGCCTAAAGATACTGAACAAGCTTAGCTTCATGGCAGGAAGGTCCTGGTGGGTACTGAGGGCCTGATCAGGGCGCTGAGGGGCGACACGGGTCAGCCTCGGTGTGCACCTTGAATGCCACTCAGCTGCCTCCTTCATGGTGTCTACAAGGACTCACTGTGAGGAAGTGCCTGCAACTCAGAACAGGCTTTGCCAGGTCACATGCTAATCACTTCACACAACAGTGGCACCGGACACACTTTCTTTGCAAAGTAAAGGCTGTTTATTGCTTGTTATGGTTTTGACAGGCAGACCCTACACAGGGACTGTGGTAACCACAAGGCGATCTTTACGAAATGCCTGTGTAGAACTGACCGACGGCGTGAACCTCAAGTGTGTTTCTCGAGGTCTCATTTCCCTTTTCCTGGGTGGAGGTCCCACCCTTGCAGGTTAGTGGAGACAGACTGTGGGGATTTACGGCTAGGGGCCATGCTTCCCCTGCCCTGATCCCTGTCCCCCAAACCCATCAGCTCCCCCACTGCTGTCCACACCTGCCTGGGCTCCCCATGCTCACACACATTTACACACAGGGAAAGCAAAGGTCACCACGTTGAACAAAACCAGTTAGACTGCATTTTCTTATAAAATGAGATGAAAAAATAAATCTAAACACACTTTTCAAGTGTCACTCTTCTTTAAATTTTCATATATGTTAAAGCTCTTTTTTTTCTTTTCAATATACTCTACTTAGAACTTTTAAAAAATAAACTTTCTTTTTTGGTACCTTTCATTTCCTGCGTTAGCTGTGGAAATATATAAAATACATCTCACTAGAAATCTGTGCAAATAATAAACATAAATAATATTAACACCTATGTTATTTTAAAAAATTGGCCATTTCAAGGTTTTCACTAATACTGCCATCAGTTGCAATGACCAGAAGATGCTCCTAGAAGTAGTCCGTGGTCTGCCCATGATGGTCACACAGGTCCTGTTCTGGCTGAGGGGGGCTGGGCAGGAATTCGCCCTCCTGCTGGTCCGCCTGCAAGCTACTTCTGGAGAGCTGTAAGACACTGCCCAGCCCACTGACCAGTGACAGGGAGGAAATCCAGTTGAGTGAGCTGAAGCTGGGCAGGCTGAAGATGGGTGACAGGGGGACTGCCCTGCTGGTGCTGGTGGGATTCATCTTGGGGTCCCCAGGACATCCTCCCAGGACAGTCTCCCCTGGCCTGTTAGCCCCGGGGGCCTGCCTGCTCAGTTCCTGAGGCAAGGTGTCCTCCCTCAAAGGCACAGTCATGTCTACCACGCTGGGCTCCCCAGTGCTCTCTGGGGAGCAGGCTGGCTGTTGTGCATGCCAAGACACCTGTGAGGTGCGGTCCTGAGAGGGGACTCCAGACATACTGATGCTCTTCTGTTTGGATGTTTCTGTTCTCGGTTCTCCCGGGAGCTGTCCCTGAGCAAAGGTCTCTTTGGGAGCATTGCATTTCTTGGGGGATCTCTTGGCCAACTGGCGCCCCAGCTGCAGCTGGGTGGGGAAGAGGCTCCCCTGCAGTGCTTTGAAAAACAATCTGGAAAGAGCACATAAAAACCTGTCAGCTGCTGTGGGTGGTGCCCTTGAGCTTTCTAAGGCTCACGAAGTGCAAAACACAGCAATAACAATGCTCAGAGCTCATGTAGGACTTGGGGGACGCTATCCCTGATACCCACCTGGGCAGCAGTGCAGCAACAGGTGCTATGAGACAAGTCAAGTAAAACATGGGGTCGCCCATTAATGCTTGCATAGTCCAATAAGGGTTGGATGGAGGATAACACGTTGCACAAGAAGCATTGTAAATCAAAGCCACAGTGAAAAATAAAAGGATACTGAAGCCACAAGCTATCCAGTTGAGCCAGGTCTGAGAGGGAAAGAGAAAAACAGGGCTTTTATTTGAACAAAAATGCACTGGTCATCAGGGAGTGGGTGTCATGTTTTAAGGGCTTAGTGAAAAAGGGCTAGTGATATGGACAGCCACTGGGGCTTAGTGAAGCTCCAGGAACCTGTAGACCAGCCTGGATGCAGGTGGAGAGATGCAAGTCAGGGAGTGAGGGGAAGGAGAGAGGAAAAGGGGTGCATGTGGTGAAGGAGGGCTAAGGCACTCACTGCTGCCATGAGAAGTGTCTGTGGCAGCTGCGGTAGCTCCCTTACCAAGGGCTCCAGCACATGTGGCCAGCCCGAGGGTGCTTTCTTTCTATCTCAGGGAGGCTGGCTTGCTAGTCACCTGTCTGTTCAAAACACCTTCTAGACTCATGGAATCTGTGTGGAGGTGTGGGACCACAGCATCAGCACCTCTGGCCCATGCCCACAGCTCTTACCCAGGTCCTGGTTTCAATACCCAGGTGCAGCAGGAAGGTGAACAGTGCAATCGCAGTGATGGGCGTTCCCCAGGTAAACACGTCTGTGTCTGAGTCATAATAAGCCTGCAAGACAGTGGCATCCCGTGTGTGCCGGTCACTGGAGGAAGCTGACAGAAAGCCTGTGTCACGTGCCGACTTACCAGGTAAGGAATGAAAAAGCAAACCAGGCTCTGGAAGGTAGCGTCAGCCATGTTCAACCAGAAGGTATGTGGCCGATATTCCTGAGACACAAAAAGAAGCACAGAGATCACGGGGAAGCACCCATCTATCTCTTCAAATGACGCCTTCCAGTACGCCACGATGCCATGAATGTGTAAGTCAGGCACCCCAAGGACACTCGGTAATTCAGGACGTCAGGAGGGAGACATGGAGGGCCAGGACGATGCACAAAGCCTGCAGCTGAGATGCTGACTGAGAGCATCTGCCTCAATGGGTCTAGCTACAGCAGCTCTAGGCCTAGGGCAGACAGATAAAACTGCTTTCTGCATCCTACGAGGGGGGATTTCCCTGGAGCAGGAACAGCACCTGAGAGTCCGCAAACCCGAGTCCCTCTACTCCCACCTCAGCAGGGTTTTGCTCCTTTTGCTGGTGTGTCCTAGAATGTTTCCTAAAAGTGAGTTTTTCAAAATTAGATCACCATGTGTCCCAATGTTAAAATAAAAAAGCTACCAAGGGCAAAAATGACCAAGACAGGGACTCTTCAAGTCTTTATTATCTGTGTGGCCCATCGGCAGCTGACCAGGCTGAGCTCCCGAGCAGCGGGTGCAGTAAGGGCCTCGGGGGGTGCAGCGCAGGCTGGGTGAGCATTCACTCCTCTAGGAGGCTGTCCGCCACCTGACCGCACAGGATGAACTCTGGGTCTGGGCCCACACCGCCAGGGAGAGGAAGCCCAGTTGAGCACAGGGACTCCCCCGAGGTGGCGGGTGACAAGCAGAGGCCTCCCTCATCCCCTTATATATAGCTGCCCCCACTCCGTGGGGCCTGTTTTGGTGGGAACCCAATGCCAACACAGGTGACCAGAGGGAGTCTACATGGAAGTGAACAGATTCTGAATCGGAGACTACCACAGAAGCCGGGGGCTCCTCCCCTACGCACACATACAATGATTCCGACTAGCTGAGACAAGATCATAACTGGCATTTTTTTTCTATATTTCTTTAACTGAAGTATAGTTATATAAAGTATTATATTGGTTCCAAGTACACACTGCAGGGATTTGAAAGTTATATACATTATTAAGTGCTTACTCCAACTAGTGTAGTTACTATCTGTCAACACAGAAAGATGATACAGAACTAACTGGCTTGCTTTACCGGCTGGCTAGGAAGAGCTGGTAATTAGCACGTCAACCTATATGGTGTATTGATGTAAACATGTACTTACATCTGTTTGTATTCGCTCGTTCTTTCAACTGTTTCCCTATGGGTTTATCTTCTCATTAATTCCCATTAATTCCCTGTTTCTGGGGGCACTTTAGAAAAATCCCTACTAGGCAGCAGTGCTCTGATCCCAGGTGGCTGATACAGACTCCAGGGGGGATCTCCTTGGGCTCCTGGAGTCTCATAATGTGGACACAGTTTTCACCTCACTATCCTTTTTAAAAACCCTTAACATTTTTTTTTAGCTTTTTTGAGGTAAATTGATACATAAAAACCACACACATTTAACGTGTACACCTGGTGGGTCTGTAGGAGCCCATGCCTCACCTGATGAGCTGCACGTCAGGTAGGCAAAACTCATTTCTATCTCCCACTGGTCAGATTCTAGCATGTTAGTTGGCCCCAGGGTGTCCACTTAAAGGGAGGCGTGAGTCCAGGAGGACAGGGGGCAGAAGGCAGGGTCGGGGGCAGCCTCACCTCCATGTTCTGGCCGCTCCTGTACAGCTGGGGCTGGGTCAGCAGCATGTTGGCCGGCACATCCTTGTCCAGCACCCCAGTCACGAGCTGGGGAAGTGACGAGAAGAGCAGATTAAAGAAGATCAGGTACCACTGGTCAATCATAGCAGATGCAGAGAAGCCACAGTAAAACTGGAACCAAAATAGGAGGCCTACGAACATCTGCAAACAAGAAAGAAAGAATGGGAAGAAAAAATTTGTAGCTGTGCTCGCAGATTCTCAGCCAAGGGTCTAAGGGTTTTAGATTGACTGGCAAGACTAAATTCATAGGCAGAGATTTCCTCCAAAGACAGCCCTAGGCTTCTGCCCTCCACCTGTCCCGTCTCCTTCCCTTTGAGCATGAAGGGCCAACACAGGGTGGATGGCAGCTTAGTAACTACCTTATGCTTATTAGCTGTGCAGCCTGGCACAGATCATTTAACTCCTCTCTGCCTGGTGTCCTTGTCCGTGAAATGGGCAGAGCAGTGGCGCTGAGCTAGGGGTGCTCATGAGGATCGATGAGCTAATGCACGGAAGTGCTCGCTCGGGCTCCTCACCCGCAGCAGGTGCTCGCCTACAGTTTGTCGGTCACTGTCAGTAGCACAGCGATTTCCCTTGTTAGGGGCTCAAGAGTCCCCCTTTAGAAAAAAGGAAATTGAGATCCAAGACGTTAAATGACCCAGCTGTTCGTGGGTCCTGGCCTGGAGGACACGGACGGTCCTAAGGTGGAACGTGGAGGAGCTTTCTCTTGGCACCACAGGGAATGGCCTGGGCTCTGGTTCTGGAGCTGCCGCTGTCTGCCCTTCAGCCTTGACTCACTCACTTAACTTCTCTGACCTTTGGTTTCTTGGCCTGAAAATGGCTTGTTCTGAAGATTATACAAAATGACACACAACCTCCCCGTCTATTTCAATCTGTGACTGCAGCTTTTCCCTCCATGGAGAGAACCGACGGGCTCGAAGTTTCCATCCACCTTCCTCCCCTTCTCGTGCCCACAGCCGATGTCTCTCAGATGCCCCCACAGGCTCGGCCTGATGAGTCACCGGGGAGCGAATGGAGTCGAGAGAAAGACGAGGAAAAGGACGATAACCGAGAATTTTTTTTCCTGTAATACCAAAAAGCCTTCTTCCCAAACCACTGTTGCCATGGGAACTTTTCTTCTCTGCTCTTATTGGAAAGGAAGGCCAACTTATACCTAAAACTAATGAATTTCTCACTTTGGGAGGCAGAGTGATTATCTTTGAACTTCTCAAGTAGATTAAGTGTTTATTAACAGAGGCCTTGTATCTTACTAGGAATAAAAACAGGTACCCCTTTCTTTTCATCTCCTTTGAGAACAGATTTATCATACCAGGCAGGAGGTTGTGCCCAGCCAGGTGGGCACTCTGACACTCCTTTGCAACTGAAATGCCTTCCCCTTACTCTGAGAAAATTTCACTAGAAATTATGGAGAGCTAAGCTCAACTCCCATGTTTTGTTTTGTTTTGAGATGAAGAAAACAAAATGCATTGAAAGCACATAACTTGCTCAAGATCACACAAGTGATGAATGACAGAAACAGGGCTGGGCTTCCACCCTGCCCAACTCCACTCACCCTTACTCAAAGCACCCATCTACCCCTTCAAGAGCCAGACCTCTAGGTTTGCAAATGTGCACATGGGGGCCTCAGCCTGGGGGGCAATGTCAAGTGGTTAGAAAAAGGGGGCCAATCAGGCAAGGACTGGGGCGACAAGACACAGCCTTCCTTGGATAGGGACCCAGGCACAACCTAATATGAATTAATTTCTAGGCCCCAACCTATCAAATTAGATATGCCCTGATTAGTTCTGAGCACCTGATTATTCACTAGAAACATTACAGAACATGTGGGACAGGAGGGTCTGGGGAAGGAAAGGTAGGTCTGACCTTCCAGAAGAAACAAGAACATGAATAAGAGGCATACTGATGGTAGTTTAGGATTAGCAATGGAGACTTTTAAATGGATTAGAAGAATAAATACACCTTTCCATTTATTTTATTGTTTTTCAGAGAAGTATTGGAAGACCTTGACACTGGAGCTGCGCTCTTCAATGTGGGAGACGTGTGGGACTTCCCTGAAAGGGCGCTTACCCCACGAGTTTATTTACTTCTCCTTGTTTGGACATTCAACCACAAGCTACCAGGAGCAAGTGCACCACAAACAACCCAGCAGCTTCTCAGCAGAATGTCTGTACCTCACTCCCGAGCAGGACAGGCTCTATAAGGACCACAGCATCTGTCCCCAAGGGCTACAGAGAAAGACGCCTGTCCACCAAGGACTTGGTAATGAAAGGACTCTGAGTTAAACATCAGGGTCCACACGAAATGGCTCAGGGGCCTGGATCAGAGTCAGGCCTGGACATGACCCGACAGAAGGGTCAGCTACACACCAAGCTGGCCAGAAGGGGTGCATCTGCCAGCACGGGAGAGGGTGTGGCAAGCCATGCTGGTGGCCCCTTCCTGCCAGGCCCAACCCTGAGCCCTGACCAGAGAATTCACATGCCTGGCCAGGGTGGCATGTCTCGGCAGAGGCCATTCAATATTGAGATCATCAGTAAGTTCTCTCCTTAGTCCAGGACCACCAATCATACCCTGCTCATCCTATGATTTCTCTGTCTACTTAGAGAAAGCATGGATTAGAGGACTCCTGTCTGTGCCCACCTCAGTCATCCACGCCTAGAAATACATTGACACAGTGGTCACGAGCACAGAAGCTGGAGTCAGGTGGGCTGGGCTGAATGTGGCCTTGACGGCTTACCAGCTGTATGACCCTGTGACAACCGCTGGACCTCCCCATTTCTCTATTTCTCATTTAATGCACTCAGTGGGCATTCTTGTCTGATCTACCTGTTTCTACAACCTTCGCCCTTAGAGGTGCAATTACCTTCCTGTGAATGAAGCTTCTGAGCCTATAGGGTGCAGGGTCAGGCCAGGCCTGGGAGAAATTCGTGAAGGTCAAGGGGATGGAAGTGATGGGAAGCCATGGGGTGGTCTGTTGGCTGCATTCAGGTGATGGCCCTATGAATCTCAGGTTGGGCCTTTTACTAAAAAACCCGAGAGACTGGCAGCAACGAATACCCACTGTGTTTTTGTAGAAGAAGTACAGCACCATGTTGGCAAGTCGGGAATAGCACCAATGTCCATGAACGATTAAGAGTCTCTCGAGGTACCGGAATCTCGGCACTGCAAAGTCACTGGCCATCACTGCCTTGAAAGGGAGAGGAGTTCGTTATTGGTGGCACCTCACATCACCTAAGGTCTCTTTTATCTCCCCAAATACCAGGCAAAACACAGGTGGAGAAATCCAGTTTGAATACAGCATGCATGTGACCAGCCAAGGCTCGCTTTGCCGTTGTTTCCCTTAGTACTTCCCTCAATCAAAAAAATGTCATCTCACTAAGCACTCTAGTTCAGGGATATCATTCTATAGCATTTACATAAGATCTCAAATATATGTAATATATGAATTTTTAAAAGTTCCTGCCTTTTCCATGCTTTGAAGAGGCCAAAACAAAAACAAATATAGAGATGTATGCAGGTTCCTTGTTTTCTCTAACTTGGGATGTTGCATTCATCTAAATCATATTAGGATCTCAAGCCAAAGGTGAACAAAAGCTGCGCCTTTTGTATGTATCAGAGATAGCCAGCTGTCCTGGGACGTCTCTTTTGGGTTGTTCTCAGGACCCACAATGATAAGGAAGGCCAGGCTCACAGCTCTGCTGGCCTCCATGTGACCCAGTCCCAGGTCGGCCACTGCAGCGCGTAGACATCGAGAGGAGGGAATGGGGACAGCAGGTTTCCTCCAAGGACAGGAAAGATGCCTGGGGCCAGAAGCTTCCCGTCACTCATTAAGCATCACGCTCCACACAGTTAAACTCACTGGGCCCAACAAATATGTCAAGATGTCACTTTTTGTGCCCAGAATAACTTGGAACCCATCAAATCACTTTGGAAAATAAAGAACAAAGAAAATGTCAGGAAAAGATAGGTTTCTGCTTATCTCCAGAGGATTACTCCACACATAAATATAAGTTCGCTTTTAAAATTTAACTTGTTTCCCTGTATTCAAATAACACCTAGAAAAGAGTAGCTCCTGCTCAGTCATTGTCCTTTCTTAGCCTGTCTGCTTTTTGAACCAAACATTAAGGATTTCCAAGCAAAGACCATCTCTATACCTCCTCCTGTGAACACAGAGGGGTTGGAAGGGCTTCGCGTATTCTGTGATCCCTCCTTCATTTATTCCATTATTTACCCTCTCAAAAAAAACATTTATTAAGACGGTCTGTTGCCAGGCACAGACCCAGAGACACAGGTACCATCAACATCATCCCTGTCCTCACTGAAGTCAACCTAAAAACTCAAAGGGATGATTGTTAGAAGTTAAGGAAAGGCCTGTGAAGTAGGCCCTTGGCTGTCTGAAGCAGCAGCCCCATCCTTGAGGAGACAGATAAGCTCCTCCTATAGGGCTGCCTCCTCAGCCTCAGCCACTTCTCCCATCTCCAAATCTAGGCCCCAAACCCACTGCTTGTCCTGTCAGGGTGGCTTCCCTGTATGCTCCCAGCTAGGTTAGATCCCCCTGGGAAACAGCCAACACAGAAACTAGTGTTTCTCTTTCTTAGCATGTACGACAGTCAGGACTATTTGCATACACTGAAAATTCGTATCTGTCTCCCTGGCTTTTCTGGACATGGCATGAAAGCTAGACTCACAGACATCATGCTCATCCAATATCCCTAGTTGCCAGTCAGTGCTTGGCTCCATGGGCTGCTCATAAACACAGGGGACCAGATGAACCCACAAACAAGTTTCTTAAAGATGCAGTATCTCTTTTGCTCCCTCTAGATCCCCACCTGGGACAACCTTCCCACCTGGGCTGAGCTGGGAGCTCCAAACAGACTCACTCAGCCTCAGTGACTCAGCCCAGAGACCTAGGGTCCCTGGTAGCATGGCATCCTGCACCACCTCTCTCCCAAAGGGCTCAGTGCAGTGTCCCTCTGAGTACTGGACTGAAAAAAATGCAAGCTGGGTCATAGTCCCCTGGATAACCTGGGCACTTAGAACAGGAAGAAAAGGCATTCAGGCCTTATCACTGATTACATAATGCATCTTCAAGGAAGTGTAGCTTCGAATAAAGATGCATCCAATAACGCCCTGCCTAGAAGTTATGCCAACTCAAAGCTGTGTCTCAGTATGTGCCCTGTGGCTTGGCTGTTCCCATCATCTCTCACAGGACTCAAATCATAGATCCCTCCAACTCCTGCCCTGAGGATGTGAGTGGTGACCAGCTCAGTCCCTTCCCCAGTCACCTACTCGACCTTTCTGTCTTGCATACAAGACATTATCAACTTGATATTTCTCCACATATATGGTTTACAGGCACTGTACCAGTCAGCTTTCCACTCCAATTAGTAGATATACAATGGGAATAATGCCAAAAAGTCAGAATGAATGAACTGTGTGCATGGCGATATGAACAGGCTAGGTTGGCCTGACCCGGACTCCATTCCCAATTCCACGGAGGAAGGAAAACATACAAGTAACATCACACACTGACTCAGGCCAGAGGAGGGCAGGGGGGAGTAAGAAATGTGCTGAGGATCCCAAGAGGGAACCACTGGGCTTCTAGCTGGGACTTCCTCACTTACTGTTATTTAATATCAAATATGAAAACTAATGAGCTTTTCACAGGCCTGGCACATGCAAGTTCTCAATAAATAATTACTGATTAAATGCATCAATACATGAATCAACCAATGACTAAATGGTGACCAACATCCTATTTTTTTAAGAAGAAAACTGGAGAAATTGCTCTCTAATCTCCACTAAGTCAAAAAAATGTTATGATTCAAAGTTAATCAAATGTCAGCCACTGAGGTACTATATCTAAAAGTAGTACATTTCTGATGAACTCTTGTTCAATATCTGGGTCACATGTTGAGAAAAATACAGTGACACATGAAAAATACACAGAAGACCTTTCATGTGAGTCAAGCTGGCTATATTCCATTTTTAGAGTGATGTCAGGCCAGTGGTACTGCAGCAGAGCTGACTTCTCAGATGGTATCATTAGTGTTCAGGAACAGTTAAAAACATCTTCCAAAGACGAGTCATAAACAACCGAACAGAAACTATGACTCACCTAGCCTTCTGTTCCACCTATTTCACAAAAATAAACTTAAAGGCACGGGAAGACCTATTTACTACACATTGCTTCCTAAATATGAAGAGTCGCCTTCCATCTTATCTTCTACTACTGGCTTAGCAGAAGGCGAGCATCAGTTGTATTGAAGGCCAACCCTTCAGCTTTGTCAGTCAGAGCCCACAGGATACCCGGGGAGGCCTTTACCTGCATGCCCTCCTGGCCCGAGATCCCCACACCCACATCGGCCACCTGGATCATGCTGACATCGTTGGCTCCGTCTCCTAGGAACAGCACAGGCAGGAAGAAAGTTCTCAATAAATAATTACTGATTAAATGCATCAATACATGAATCAACCAATGACTAAATGGTGACCAACATCCTATTTTTTTAAGAAGAAAACTGGAGAAATTGCTCTCTAATCTCCACTAAGTCAAAAAAATGTTATGATTCAAAGTTAATCAAATGTCAGCCACTGAGGTACTATATCTAAAAGTAGTACATTTCTGATGAACTCTTGTTCAATATCTGGGTCACATGTTGAGAAAAATACAGTGACACATGAAAAATACACAGAAGACCTTTCATGTGAGTCAAGCTGGCTATATTCCATTTTTAGAGTGATGTCAGGCCAGTGGTACTGCAGCAGAGCTGACTTCTCAGATGGTATCATTAGTGTTCAGGAACAGTTAAAAACATCTTCCAAAGACGAGTCATAAACAACCGAACAGAAACTATGACTCACCTAGCCTTCTGTTCCACCTATTTCACAAAAATAAACTTAAAGGCACGGGAAGACCTATTTACTACACATTGCTTCCTAAATATGAAGAGTCGCCTTCCATCTTATCTTCTACTACTGGCTTAGCAGAAGGCGAGCATCAGTTGTATTGAAGGCCAACCCTTCAGCTTTGTCAGTCAGAGCCCACAGGATACCCGGGGAGGCCTTTACCTGCATGCCCTCCTGGCCCGAGATCCCCACACCCACATCGGCCACCTGGATCATGCTGACATCGTTGGCTCCGTCTCCTAGGAACAGCACAGGCAGGAAGAACCGTTTGAGTGGAGGTACACAGAATCAAATCGGCTTGATGGATCTTCACGGGTCCCCATGGGACTGAGTCCTGGGAACGGGCCACGAGGAAGAGCAAGGAAAAAGCAGTGCTGAGTCGGTCCAGGAGAATTGAGTTAAAGAGTCAGAACAAACACGGTGAGAGGTTGGAAACCACAGTCACACCGAGACATGTTTCAGGAAGGAGGCTGGTGTGGTTGCCTTTTTATTCAGCACTCACTCTACGTTACTGGCTCTTGACCAACAGAAAGCCCTTACTGTGGTGTCTGGTGCAGTGAAAGATGCTTTTGTCACCCTTATCATCGTTATTCACTGAGCTATGCCAGTCTTTATCGCATATACAGCACGTCAGCCAAGGCTATTCCCATTCATACTCCCATAAGTGGTTTTCTACATTGAACAAAAAAGGTTAAATTCTGCCCCCCAAACTGGAGATTACCAGTTTTGCCTGCTGATTACCAGCTAGCTTATTAGCTCTTATGCTCACCTTTGGGACTTTTGAGAGTGCCATAAAGAACTTCTATTTATTTAAACTGCTGATAGAAAATGTTTAGGAACACAGAGCATTAGGTCAGACTTCTTGATATCTTTGTGGAAAGGCAAGCAGAAGCTCAGAGTCATTGCTACTCTGATAGTGACCATTTTTGGAAGAGGGCAGCAGAAGGGTCCAGTCTTGGAGCACTGCCACGGTTCAAACATGCAAAAAGTACAGATATGCAAACGTGCAGTGATTCATATGTAGCTAAATGATGTCTCTCAACTATGGTTTTTCTGTTATTTATTGCACTGGGCTCAGCACAGTGATTAGTCAGTATCTGCTGAACTAGAATTTTGTGAAGCAGTAACTCTGCAGCTTCTCCTAAAATGTTCCATTCAAAATGAGTGGTAGGCAGATATGTTTTCTAAACCATCAACCGCTGGACACCCAGGACTGGGTCACATTGATGCTTTAACTCTTGGTCAAATAAATGAGCTAAACTTCTGAGGGGTCATTACTTCCCCTTCCCTTTTGAGATTCTATTTTCTTTTTTCTTCTCTTTTTAACCAGCCAAGGCTCTACCTCCATTTTCTTAAGTGAATACCACACACCAGTGATTCACTGGTTGGCCCATGTGCTAACAGGCTGTAAAAATGTGGCTGATGACTCACGTCTTACAAAGCCTTACCAGGGGACACTGTCTTCATGTTACCACTGAGGACAGGAGCTCAGAGGAGCCAGGCAAGCAGTGAGAGTGCAGCTGCAGCCTGCAGACCCCTCAACCCAGGGAGACACAGGGGCAAAGGCAGTCCTGAGGCAGTCTCCCTTGGGAGGGGTCCACCCCAGAAGAGCCGCCCTCCACCCCTCACTCCCTTTAGTGGCTCCCGTGGCCCTCAGGATGTGCAGGGCCGACTCCACAGGGACCGTGCCCAGGCTCTACACTGGCCTTAACTCTGTCCCCATGCGGCATCCTGTGTGACAGGGAGGCAATCCCAACAGCAACAAGGAAAGGCCATCACAGACCTTGCAGAAAATACTGTAATTGTTATTGATTGGCGAGGATGCTTTATTTCAGAGCTAACTCCCACCTAGGTAGAGATTCTACATGCAAGGAACCAAACTGATTTCCGTGGACCATGGGAATCACCTCTGCCCTAGGCTCCCGGCCATTCTTCCCCCTCTCAGCAGCAGGTGGCACTGCTGAGTCCCTGAACCTGAGGGGTGACTGCCTGGAGGCAGCGGTGGGCAGGGATGGTGACTTGGAGAAGTGAGCACCATGCAGCCCTGGAGGGAGCCCTAGAAGGTCTCTGGGCCAACAGTCTGTGAGGGAAAACCACCATTAGATGCACAGTCCTTAAGGAAATATGTGAAATTTAGCAACTATTCTTATTTTAAGATGGATTTACTTAATTAGGTGCTTGTCTTGGAACTGTCAACACAGTTTGGCAATGGGAATTCTCATCCCCATCTAGTCTCTGGGCCCTTACGGCATTAAGAAGCCTTGAACTCCAGTATCTCAGGGCGACTAGGAGAGCCTGCAAAGGGCCTTTCTAAGCTGGCTTAGGATAATGCTTAGTTCACAGGGCTCTGCTGTGCTGTGGCTGCCTATGATGGGCAGATTTTGTCCCCTGTTTCCAGGGAAACAGTATAAACTCCATCTTCTTGAACCACCAATGTATTACAGGCCTCCTAATAGGTAGCTGTTATTGTTACTACTGTATTTTGTGGCTTTCAAATCTAAGCTTTGTATTTGGAATGGGCTGTCTGTTATATTGGGTGTGGTTTTACGAATAGGAAAAAGAACACAGAAGCATTTTCCCACCGTATGACATAGCATGGAAGGGGCAGAAATTCAAGGATGCCTTGAGAGAAAGCAGTTGCATGAGACAGGGGCTGCTTGTTCAAGGGGGCCCTGCCTTGCCGGCTGGATACTTGCCGATAGCCAGGGTCATGGCCTTGAGCTTGCTCCTCACCAGCTTCACCACCATGCTCTTCTGCAGGGGTGTCGAGCGACAGCAAAGGACTGACCGGCACTGCTTAGCGAGGAAGAGAAACTTGTCCTCCAGGTTTTTCTCAAGGGCGTAGGTCAGACTTCTCCCGTCGATCACGAGGCTCGGGATGGGGCCAGAGGTGGAGGGTGCAGGGGGAGGGCAGAGGGGGTATAACCCCATGCTCACAGTGCCTGTGATCTTCTCAGGGGTTCTGTGGGGGCTCCTGGACTGCATGTAGTGTAGGCACTGGTCCAGCAGGGCTGCACATGCCTCCTGGAATGGACACGAGAGGACAGGGCAGCTCAGGAGGCTGTGCCACAGGCCAGGGTACCCTCCCCAACACACTGGGCTCTGACAATGTCCGGGGCACGAGGCTGCGGGTTCTGTCCAGGAGGCCTCTCTCCTGAGAGTAGGAAGTTAGCTGAAGAAGATGGCTTCTCACTCAGAAGGGAATGAGTTGGTGTGGGGTTTCTGCAAGGTTTCCCTTGAGTGCCCACTGCACTGGACGGGGTTGGATGGAACGTCCTGACTTTGGGAGACCTGACCACACTGTGGCTCAATTGCTGGCTGGTCAGGATGAAGGAGCCTTACACACACTTCTCCACAGTTCTCGGAGGCCTTTACTCTGTGTTCTTGTTTCCTAATGAGGTACCAACAATAGGATAAAAAGCTCTTCAAAAGGTTTTGTTAAGATTAGTCCCTAAAGAAGTATAATTATCAGTGTCTCCCTAAGCTCTCCAGTTGACTAGGAAAATGAAGAAGTTAAAAATAAAAGCATAAGTAGTGAGGCTTTTAACTGGCAAGTGCTTCCATAACAGTATCAGAATTCCAGTAAAAAACAGAAGAATGTAGTGGGGAACCCACTGGGTCAGAGAACAGAGGGATGGCTGTTTCTAGGCACAAACACACTCTGGGGAGCTCAGGTGGTTCCTGGTTCACTACGGACAGTGAGCCCACCGGGCTGGTGAATACTTTCCTGAAAAGATCATGGAAATCCAGTTGTGTTCAACAAGTGCTTATTGAGGACCTTTTACATTTAGGAAAGTGAGCGAGATACAGAAGAGAAGTCTGAGAAACCACAGTTGTTGGACTTGGGACAATAGGTAGGCAACCAGATACACACACACACACATGGGTGTGTGCACATGTATGCTCATGTATGGGCATGTACACACACACATGTGCACACACACCCGTGGCCGCAGCAAGTCACAGACAAGCATGTACACGAGAGGTATGCAATATGAAGAGGGAGAAACCTGCGTGCATGGCAGAGCTGGGAGCGGTGGAGACTGGGAAGGACTGGAAGAGAATGTGGGCCGCATTGCAGCAGCACCATGAGTGGATGGTCCTAGCACAGAGCACTGGCAAGGTGAGTTGGTGCAAGCATACCCGCGCCTGCCTGCCCCACTGCATGCAGCTATGCAACACGGGCAGAACTGAAATAGCAACTGTTTGAGGCCTCTGAAAGTAAATGGTAACTGTCAGATTAGAGAAGAAAACCGGCATTCGGAATACACTGAACAGGTGTGTGAGTTTTACATTTTCACTCTGGCGGCTCCTGGGCTGGAGCTGAGCCAACAGAAAGCCTGGCAGTGGTGCCATGGCAGGGACAGAGCCCCAGGAGAAGCCCTCTAGCTCTGGCTTGGGGAGTGGAAAAGAGGACTCCCAGGGCTCACAGAGACACAGGAAGTCCTGTTTTGATTTGCCTTTTTCCCATTCCCTCAAGCCCCGCCCTAGGCAAGTCCGCTACATGGCAGTGGAGGACCAGCAGTGGAGCAGGACTGTGTGCTGCTGGCGGCTGAGGGGGATGTGCCTTCCCTCCGGCTGTGGCCCTGTGACGGCGAGGTGACGCCACCTTCCTGCCCTCCCCCAGCGTGGCTTGGATGTAGGTGTCGGCACAGAAGTGCCAAGCAGAGCAGGGTAACTCAAGTCCCAGCTTTCTTGCCAGAGGACTGGCAAGGGAGTCCCAGAGAGTGCTGGACAGATATCTAGAGGGGGGAGCTAGCCTAACAGACCCCACAGTGCGGTTATTTCCTGGGGTCACCCATTCATGCGCATAATCCTAAACAGCATGATAAAGACTTCTGAGCCTTGAACTCTGGATAGGCTGTCGCCCAAGTCCCAAACTGACTTCAGGTGTTAACAGTGCAAGAGATTCACCAGCTGGTGAAGACACGGAACTGCCACCACAGTCAACACCCAGGGACTGTCAGGAGCAGCCTGAACCCAGGGGATCAGTTACCTAAGAAATATCCACACTGACAGAATTTAAAAGTGACCTGAGTGTCATTCAAAATGCCCATGCTATGACCCAAATTTCATCAGTATACAAAGAACCAGGGGATTCTCAGTGCATGTGGAAAAAGGCAGGAACACGAGCCAGGGCCAGCTGACACACACCAGAATCGTCTGACAAACACTCTGCAGCAGCCATTATGAAAACACTCCAAAAGTAAAAGTGGATATTCCAGAAATGAATAGAAAGGAAGTTTCAACAGAAAAACAGAAGAGAATATATATAAAGAAGAATCAGAAATTTTCAAACCCAAAACCACATTAACCAAAATAAAAAAGCTCACTGGATTCCAAATAGTTTATGTAGCTCCCCTGACCTCTAGGAGAGGGAATGTAACTCCACACTCCTTACGCGTGAGCTGTGCAGTGGCTTCCTTCCAAAGAGAACAGTACAGAAAGGGTAAGAAGAAGTAAGAAGAAGAAGAAAGGGTAAGAAGAAGCAGTAGACAGAATGACAAACAGCATCAACAGTGGTGCCTCATGTTGACAGAATATGCCCTCGATATGATGTGATGAAATGATAAAAATGGCGCTTTAATCAAGAACAGTATCAGGAAAATCCCCATCTGAGGGCATTCCACAAACTATCTGACCAGTGCTTCTCAAAACTGTCAAGGTCATCAAAGAATGTTTGAGGAGCTATTACAGCCAGTAATAGCATAAGGAGACAGGGTGGCTAAGTGTAATGTGGTTCTGGGTGGGATCCTGGAACACAGAAAGACAATCTGAATATTGTAAGGATTTTTGTAAGTAATAATAATTGGTTCACAAATTGTAAAGATGTTAATAGTAGAGAAGATTTGGGTGTGGATTATATGGTAGTTCTCAGTACTATCACCACAGTTTTTCCTGAAATCTAAAAGTTTATTTTTTAAAAAGACTCACTAAATGGACTCAGTAGCATAATGGAGATAACAGAAAAAAAACTCAGGAGACCTCAAAGAGCAAGAGAAATCATCCAATTTGAATGAGAGAGGAAAATTACTGAGAAAAAGCACTGGCGTCTGCACCAGCCCCAGACCTAAGATTCATGCTGTCAGCCTTCCAGAGAAGAGGAGGCGCAGCACAGAAACGGTGTTGGGAGAAATAGTGGCTGAAAGCTTACCGAATTCGGTGAAAGACATCACACAGCAGATTCACGACGCTTAGCACATCCCAGAGTATAAAGCTAAAGGAATTTGTACCCAAATACATCATAAACCAACTGCTTAAAACTCAAGACAGAAAAAAAAATCAAAATCAGCCAGAAAAAAACAATTCATTAGTGGCAGAGTAACAATGACTCACATGACTGTTGATTTCTCAGTGGAAACCACGGTGAAGAAAAGTGAGAGAATTTGTTGTCAGCAGACCTGCTCTAAAGGAACTGCTTAAGGAAGTTCTTCAGACAGAAGGGAAATCATGTTGCAAGCCGCTTGGAATATCGGGAATGAAAGAGCAACAGATGTAAATATACGTGTAAACACAGCAGACTGGGCTTTCCTGTTGAGTCCTTTTAATACACTTTTTGATTGAAAGCAAACATTACAATATTATCAGATGAGGATGTCTATACATGGAGCTACGTCAGATATCTACAGTTTCTTCTTATCACATGTCTGCATTCCACTTGAAGTAGCAGAATACTGGTTCTAAGTAGCTGTGGCCACTGAAGTATGCACACTATAATCTCTAGGAAAACCACTAAGAAACCTAAGTGAAGTGATGTTGTCAAAACACAACAGACACATTGAAATGGAATACTAAAAAGCATCCAAAGAACCCAAAAGAAAGTAGGAAAGGAAATGGAGGATCCAAAAATGGAGAAAAATTCAGAAAACAAGAACAATGTTAAGACTTGTAAAAAAACCACAGGACAGCAGAGTTTTGGTGAAGGAGTAGACCCACAGATCAGGGGAACAGAATAAAAAGTCTAGAAATAGATCCACACAAATATGACCAATTGATTTTCAACAAAGGTATAAAGACAATCCAATGGAAAAAAGACAGGCTTTCAACAAATGGTGCTGGATTAATTGGATAGCTAATCGTAGAAAAATGAAGTTTGACCCAAACCTCCCACATTATATAAAATTCTACACAGAATGGATTGTGTCTAAAGGTGAAACATTAAACTATATGCCTTTTAGAAAAAAATATAGGAGAAATCTTCAAAGTTAGGCACATCTTTATATGACATGACACCGAAAGTTTCAAATGGGAGCCCACAGCAAGGCCTATGAGCAGAAGACACTGCCCACATATCTCAGGATTTAAAGAGGTACACGTGACTGGCTGACAACCTCAGTGCCCATCAGGGCATCCACACGACACCTCATGCCACACCGAGGACGTCAGTGTGGAATGTACTGCTGCCCTGCCTCCATGTGGCCTCATGACAAAATTTTGTCATATTGCTGACATAGATAGTAAGGCAGGAACAAGCAGGTTGACCTTTGCATTCATAAAGCCTGGATATGTGTTTCTTTCGCATGAAGAAATGCCAGCAGATTCCACACGTTGAAGGTCATGACAAGCATGTGCTGGGTGCTGGAAGCGCAGCACAGGTGCAAACAGGGGCTGGGGGCAGAGGCCCATCTCACCGTGGGTACCAGGCACAGGAGGCATTCCTGCTGAGCTATGCCCTGGGGAGGGGTGGGCTGAGGCTGCCCAGCAAAGCAGGGCCTCCCAGAAACCCTGTACCTGGGATTCAGCATTCAGGGTGATGACCTCCTCATCATGGTCCAGCAGTTTGCAGGCATACGCAATGTTGATGGCTGTTTCCTGTTTGTCCCCGGTGAGAACCCAAATCTGCAGGCCTGCCTGACGCAGTTTAGTGATGGTTTCGGGAACTCCATCCTGCAGGCGGTCTTCAATCCCAGTGGCACCTGGTCAAACACACAGCGGCGTGGGTGAGCCCTCTACTCACATGCCCCCTGACCCAGAAGTGTGTGAATGGCACACACCAACACAGACGAGAGGCTGGCCCGGCCCGCACCCTGGGGCCTCTGAGGTCTGTCTCTCTGGGAAGCACTATGATGACTCACTCAGGACAGTGGGGGACACTTTCAGCCTCTTGACTTCATAGTCGAGAGTCAGCTGGAACAACTGTGAGGCCCTAAGCATAATTATATCTACAAGAAGGCACCCGCAATGCTTTCTGACAGGCAGCTAACTTTTAACTATACAGAAAACCGGGAAATAAGGCTTGTGGAGGGATGGTGGGAATGGCTGTGTTCTCGGGGATGAAGAAGTTCTAACATTACCTATCCCCTGCACGCTTTCTAATGAATGGCACTCACATTTGCTCTTGGCAATACTGCTGCTGTCTTGACAGACCACACAGGCCTGTGATTTCTTGAAAACATTATCCTGAATTTACTTTTTCCACAAACAAAATGAATAAGAGGTGGGATTCCCTGTGTGGGTCTCCATATATTGGGGTAATTACAGCATTCACTGCAGAAAGGTGCTCTCTAGGTTGGCCTGTTTTTCCCTGCTTCCAATTTGATGAGATGGGCTCCACCTCCTCCCTAGAAATGCGGCATTGACTGAGGGGTCCTCATCAGCCGTTGCTCTTTCATGTCATCTTGCTCCATGTGCTGTATGGAGTGAATGTTCGTGTTCCCTAAAAATTCATATGATGGAGCAAAGGCGAGTGAGGTGAGTTAGCTCACCCTGGGCCAGCATTCCACACATTGGAGCATTCTCCTGCTCCAAACCTCTGAGCTGCTCATCTGTTCTAGACTAATACTTCCACTGTGGGGTGGTGCTTTGTGTAGCTCAACCAGTTATCCACCCTTTATTAGACAGTGACTTCCTGCAGAAAGGCCTCTTGTCTCCCCATCTTGGTATCCTGGCCACTCAGCCAGGGCTCCTTGATAAATGTCCACCAAAACAGAAAGCAGGACAGGTCTCCAAGATATATTCCAGTCCAGAAGGAGTCTGCCTATTTTTAGGGAAAGCAAAACACTTCAAAATAAAGCTTCTTTATTTCAGGAGCTCAACTGGCCAAAGTACTGGGCCCCCTGCTGGGTCACTGCACTGACCCTCTCCTGCATAATGTGCAGGTTTGAGGGAAACACTGAATGTTACGGAACTCAGAATACAGTCATGGAAGGTATGTCTGTCTCTGCATGAACTATGGCTGAGGATAGAGAGTAAATCCAAGGGAACAGTCCTGTTAACATGATTTGGAAGCAGAGTGGCTGTCTTCAGCTCTCTCAGGTAGCTTGTTTGCAATATTACTTGACTTTTGAGTAAATGACACTTTCTTTAAAGCATGCTCCTTAGAACCTTGAACTTTGAGTATGGTAACCGGGGTAGGTAGTAGGGTTCAAGCTGGAGCCACCATGCTTCACTGCACGCAGATGTCAGGCAGCTTTAATGGGAGGGGAGATTTAACCCACTGGGGAGTTTCAGATGACATCTGGGGAAACCAGAAAAGGGAGTGAACAGAACGTGGCCTTTGCACTTAGGTTCTTGGCCAGAACATTATGGAAAAGGAAATTTCAACGATACCGTGTGCCTGATGATCAATCCTTTGAGGTCCTCTGGTGTCACTTAATATAAGAACTTGAATGTAAAGTTTTACCTATGGGTAGTTGCTTTGGGATATTAAAAATATAAGTGATTTACTTTGTATTTCTCAGAAATGAGTTGGAGGGGCTGGCACACAGTTGTGGGTGAAGCTGTGGTGAATGTGAAGGTGCTGGGTCTCCTTTTCTCTGGTTCAGGCTGCAGCATTTGAACCACAGATACCCCAGGTTGCAGGCGATCTAAGTGTTAACCACTGGCTTGCAGGAGGGAGGCTGATTTGCTGCATTTGCCCCTTTCTGTGGTGCAAATACACCCACGGTGACTGATTTCAAGCTATCAACAAGCATCAAAAGGCTATGCAGGATTCATGAAAATTTATGCAAAACAGAAACAGTGACAGCAAACTTCCTGAAAATTTATCCATAGGCTCTTGGCTAATGTATGGACTGCTGCCCACCATGGGAAATCGAGTGGCTCCTTCACTGACCTGTCTCAGAGCTATTCTCACACACTTGTGGAGAGAAGCATCTGATTTAGGATGACAACAGAATATGGCTGAGTCAGAATTATGAAACTTTACTAGTCACGACACTGATAAAACCATAGTAGAAAAAGCTGGAACAGGGATAACGTGAAACTACTTTTAGATGTTTACACAGTTACCCAGGTAAAAATTACAGAATCCAAGCCAGGAAGTGATTCCTGTGAAAAAGATAAAGGAAGGTGAGTTGACCTCAAGTTAGGTATGTGCCTGCAGTGTACTCAGGCTGTCAAAAACTTAGGACACGTTAACAGAGATATAACATGGGGGCCAAGGGAGGTGATGGATGCCTGACCACCAGAGTAGCATTTCTGGGGTCCAGGAGTTTCTTTTTGTTTTAGGGATGGGAATAATCCTTTCATGCATCAATTATTGCAAAATCTTGCTCCTTATCTTGATTTTGGTGGGAAAGCAAGGTTTAAAGGGGAGAAGTTGGGTGCCATCATAGGTAGGGTACCTTGTGGGGTGGCACATGGAACGACACAGAAATGGGCCATGGCAAGAACATTCAATCAAGGAGGGTCCCACTGGGGACCACTCTGGCATCAGGCCAGGAGGTTCCTTACTAAACCCAGAGTGTGCAGAGGTACCACTGACTGAAGCCCAGTACCTCCCCATCTGAGATGGGCTTTGCAAATTGCACACTACTCCATGTAACAGATGCACGTGAGCATAATTACCCAACAGGTGAAGATTGGTCTCCAGGCGAATGGCAGACTGAAAAAGGAGCTCCTCGCGGTTTTCCAGGGAGGACTCTGCTTCTAAGTGGCTTTGCAACCAACAGGCATACTCTTCTTTACTTAGGACCTAGGGGAGATATGCTGCTGAGTGCTGTGTAGATGTGGGCAGCCCTTGCCCAGGCGGCTCACACTCACCCTCTTGGCGATGCACAAAGTACGCAGGCCTTCCACTGCATATAGGTTGAGGTAATTCTGAGTCTTGCTTCGGATTTTCTTCTGATGCCTTCCTCTGGCATCATCTACATTGGAGTAGAAGCAGAAACCAGCATGAGGAAGGGTCCTGGGAATGCCCTAGCCCACTCTGAAGATGCCAGGGAGCTCTGTGTGGTGCTGAAAATCTCTGTGTGTGACTGCTGATGGGCTGAGAGCTCAGCACCACCTCAGAGGAGCTAACTAGGATGCTCTTCCCACTCAGCTTCCAGGCTAGCTTCACTTGGAAAACAGTCACATTTTAAGGTCTCTAAAGTTGTCACACTCAGAGAGACAAGAAGTAGAATGGTGGTTGCCAGGGCTGGGGCCTGGGGAGAAAGAGGAGTTGTTCAAAGGGTAAAGAGTTTTAGTTTTGCAAGGAGAGTTCTGGAGATCTGTTACATAACAATATGTTTAAAAATGGTTAAGGTGGCAATTTTTATGTACATACATTAAAAGTTTATTTTTAATAATTAAAATTAAAAAATTAAAATTAAGAATACAATTTTTTAAAAAGCTAGGAAATTAGTTGTCAGCTAGCAAAAGTTCTCCAAACATCCACCCTTTTCTGATTTCTGTAGACACAGATAAGGAGAAGACTTGTTCCTTATTATAAACTACAGAAGTGCTGACTTTGAACTTTCTCCAGCCATGGAATCCACAAGGTGACATACACCTTCTTAACTATAAAATCTTCTTGGGTAACAATTATGAGTGGGAGCGCAGAAGGGCAGGAGCTTTTGTGTGTGATCAAAGTGTGTTATGAGTATGTTTCAGGGCCAGTGAGGAATACATGGTCCTCACCTTTCTGCCTCACTCTAGTTGGCTGCAACTAGGTCAGAGAATTTTCTTGCAATGAATCAATCAGCAAAGTCACAAGAACATCCTTTCCCCATGATTTACTCCAAAATCCTCCAAAGAGGAACACCTGGGAATCTGAACTACTAGATTTATCCCATGTCTGTTTCGTTGCTTGTAAATAATACACACTCATATTCATATAACATTTAAAGTAGAAGTTAGCTGTTATTTTCAAAAACCTCCTATTTCAGACTGTTTCTATTTGTGCCTTGTTGAAACGAGAAGTTTGTATAAGTAGAACATCATTAAGAGTGATCTGTCATCCCTTTGTCCAGGAGGTGGACATACAAGAAGTGTATATTCCTCCCATTTATGAAAAACTGTCCTTGAGAAAAAGGCAATTCCTATCCCCAAAACACCAGCAGTATTGCCAGAGAGAATATTAAGTGCCCAAATATCACATAGAACATACTTTTACTAAAAATATTATGTGTTGCTTAATCTGAAATTCAAATTTAACTGGACATTCAACATATTTTGTTCGATAAATCTGGCAATCCTACTTACCAGTGGTAAGACCCCTGGTCTGGGGAAGGTTTTCTACTATTTGAATCAACCTCTTATCTCCTGAACATATGATCTACATGGAAAAGGCAGTGCCCCCAAGGGGCCAAAGATTGGTTCTTGGGAGCAAAATGTATTCTTATGCATAAAAGCATGGATATATATACAGTACATAAACAGAGGTACAGCATATCTATGCATTAAAATGACATGGAGGTGAGCCAAGATGGTGGTGTGAGTAGAACAGCAGAAATCTCCTCCCAAAACCACATATATTTATGAAAATATAACAAAGACAACTCTTCCTAGAAAAGAGACCAGAGGACACAGGACAACATCCAGACCACATCCACACCTGCAAGAACCCAGTGCCTCCCCAAGGGGGTAAGATACAAACCCCGGCACAGTGGGACCTGAGCACCCATCCCCCCAGCTCCCGGCGGGA